TGGATGGATAGGTGGATGGATGGATGGATGGGTGGATGGATGGATGGGTGGATGGATGGATGGGTAGATGGATGGATGGATGGATAGGTGGGTGGATGGATAGGTGGGTGGGTGGATGGATAGGTGGATGGATGGATGGATGGGTGGATGGATGGATGGGTGGATAGATGGATGGATGGATAGGTGGATGGATGGATGGATGGATGGTAGGTGGGTAGATGGATAGGTGGATGGATGGATGGATAGATGGATAGATGGCTAAGTGGGTGATAGGTGGGTGGATGATTGCTGGTATGAATGTGCGCATATGCATGTAGGTCTTGACTCTGGAAGATACTTCAGGCTTCTTTGTTCTGTACTCTTTCCAGAAAGACCCAGGATGCCCCACATTCCAGAAGCTACAGAGGTCCATGGTGTGTATGTAGGCAGTGGGGGTTGAATCCTCCTGGAGGCTTAGGATGAGCTGTTGGAAGTGGGATCAGAGCTCTGCCTAGAGTTGCCCCATGCAGGTATGGGCTGAAGACTAGGGCACTATGGGTGGGGGGAGGAGAGTGGCTGCCCTAACAGGCTGGTGCACTTTGGAACTCGGTGGGGGGGGGTCCCCACAAATGATGCCTTTGCTCAGGCAGTAACCCTCCACTGGAGGCTAGAACTGAGCTTCCAGAGACCACGTGGACCACCACCAGGAAGGGTGTTACCCGGGTAGGGGTTGAGGGGAAAGGATCCTGGGGACCCAGTGGGCACCCATTACCACGGGCCAGGAGGGTTGAACAGGACACTTTCCTGGATGTCTTGGGGGAGGGAAAGCAGGTCTGAGCCACGTCTGTGTCAGGACCTAAGCTGAGATTGTCCTGTTACCTCTGGAGAAGAAGAGAGGCCGCCCCCCCTTCCCACGCCTCCCTGCCTGGCACTGGGCGTTCACTGTCTCTTCTACCTGTCTAGTAACCCACCACCTGACCAGCCCTCCATCAGCACACCAGTTTATATGCTCATCGACCCTTCTACCCATCCTTCCACAGACCTGTCCATCTACTACTCCTTCCCTTCATTCATCTGTCTGTCTGTTCTTCCATCCATCCGTCTATCCACCCGTTAGGCTAGCAAACCCACATACACAGCCTTTTCTCTGTTCTAAGCTGTTCTCACAGCAATCCTATGAGGAAATGCTATTATTATTCCCACTTTACAGATGAGATGTAGAAAGTGAGACACAGAGAGGTTAAGTGACTTCCCCAAGAACACACAGCTGGTAAATGGCAGAGCTGTCTGACCTGACAGGCTGAGCTCTGAACCTCCCAGTTTTCTGTTCAACCATCTAGCCACCCTTATAGCTGTCCATCATTCAGTCCCTTCACTCACCTGTCACTGTCCATCCAGTGGCCCATCCATCGCTGTCACCCATCCATCCTGAAGGTAATGCAGTTAGAGAACCAGGGGCCCTGAGGGGAGAGAAGGCCCGGACTGCCCATCTGGCTGGGCTGGGGTGGACTGGGGGGGTGGGGTGGGCTGCCCCGGGCTGGGCAGGGCTGCATGAGGCTGGAGGGAATTAGCCGAGTGACTGCCAGGATCATCTAATTAGGAACGCTAGTGATAAGAAGATAGGATCGAGGGTGATTAGAATCCTTTTAAAAAGCCACTCCATTAATTACAGAGACAGAGAGGGGCCTCTGGCTGCTCAGAATACCAATTGGCTGCCTAATCGGCCTCCATCAGCTCGCCCTGGGGAGGGTTCCTGGGACCGCTGTGTGACCTTGGTTGTGCCCTGCCCTCTCTGGGCCTCCCCGTGCATGCACTGGATCAGGCTCTTCCTGAGATCACCTGGTCACCCAAGGTCCTCTTTCTCTTCCCAGGCCATGGCTTGAGGGGGGCAGACAGGCCCGCCTGAGCCCCTGAGGGTGGGCCTCAGACTGGGGACACAGAGGCCGCAAGCCAGGGAGGTTAGTCTGGCTCCCCAGGGAGGAGGCAGTCCTGACGGGGAGGATTTTTCCCACCGCACCGGTGAATGAGGACAGCAAGGGTCAGAGAGGGAAAGTGAGCAAACAGCCAGTGGTGGTCAAGGCTGTGGGGGCTGAGCTCAAGCCATGCCTGCACATCCCTGTGTCCTCACGCAGGCCCTGGGGAGGGACCCAGACGCCTCTGCTCTTAACACTTTTGGTCTTAGGATTTCAGAGGACACGACTCAGAACCATTTTCAGCAGGGAAAATCACCTCTGCCAAGTTCCACACCTTCGTCTGTAGGAAGCTCGCCCCACGTCGTCCTTGGTAAGCTGGAGAGGGCCCCCCATCTTCTGGGCTCCTTGGGCAATGAGCAGCTGAGATCTGCCTCTGTGTTGTATGCCCATCCTATAAGCCCTGGGACAGCCCTGAACCCTGGGGGTCTCCAGCCCTGTCTCCATCCTCGCTGCCTCTTACAGACAGACCACCCTAGGGTGGGGCCTCAGGCTGAGCACAGGGCCTGGGGTCAGAACAGTGCTGATCTTTGCTGGGGGAGCTCCAGGACCACAGGAAAGTTTCTCTTTGCAAAGACATTACAGGTCAAGTCTCAGGCAAGGCAGGCAGAGGGGACCCTGGGTCAAGGGAAGCATCTCATCATCCTGGGTCCCTTGTCTCTTAATTGGATGTAACCAGGCACACAGCGTCCTGATTGCGTGGCCATGGGACCCTCAGGCGTCTCCTGTAGTGGTGCCATTGCCACCAACTCCCCGACGGATGTTGCATGACCCCATTAGCATCACCGTAAACGTATGACCACCCCTATGTCCACCATCAACCTCCCTCTTCCCCACCATCGCTGTTACCATCGCCATTATGACCGCCCCCACCTCCTCCAGTATCGCCAGCGATCGCACCAGGTCACTATCATCACACCGTCACCACCGCCACATCCCGCCTCTGACGCCACCGCCACCGTCACCACCCGCCTCCACCTCGACAGTGTTCACGTTACGTTGACCCACGTCACCGCCATTAGTGTCACCAACACCATCTTCGTCTCAGCCAGCGTCACCCTCGCCACGACACCATTGCTACCGTCACTGCCACTACCATTACTGTCGTCACCACGACCTGTGTCACCACCTGTGTCCCCTGGCCCAGTGTCCCCACTGCCCACCTCCCTCCTCATGCCCCCCGTCATTGTCACGTCTGTCACCCCCACCGCCTGCACCACCTTCCCCTGAGCCACTGTCACCATGACCGCGTGCACACAGCTGCTGACCGTGACAGGTATGAAGACACAAAGTGTGAGTTTTCACGACCAGGGGACGACCTGGGCGCGTAAAGATCAGGGAAACGAGGCATCACTGACGGTCTTGGTCTGCTTCCCCAAAGTGGCGAGATCTTAAGAGTTTGCCTGGAAGCTGCTGGAATCTCACGATCTTCCGTGAAGCCCCCCCCCCCCCCCCCCCTGCCCCCCTCCCCCTGAGCATCTCAGCCTGCATCTCTGAAGGGGGTGGGGGGGTTCTCAAGGGTTGCCCAGAACTTCCTGCAGACCTCCAGTTGCCATCGGCCCACAACGGCCTCTCTCTCCTCCGCTTTCCGTCGCTCATGCATTGGCAGACTCCACCCTGGAACCACATGGGGAAGGGGATTCTGGAAAATCTTTCCGAATTCTCTAGGACGCCGAGGGGACCACGGAGGAGGGAGGCGGCAACACTGAGTTAGCCACAGAAACTCCAGAACACCACACCTGCTGCTTCATCACCATCAGCATCAACACCGTAGCTAGAGCACATTGTGACTGTTGTCAGCAAGCCCTCCATTGCTGTCACAGGTCCTGTCGTGTTGAGCAGCGCTTCGGTCACCAGAGCATTGCCATCGCCGGCAGCACCGGGGCCACCCCCCACCCCCCGCATGCTGCAGGATCACCCACTCCCTAAGAGGATTGTGCCTCCCCACCTGTAGCCTGAGACGTGCGGACCCTTCCTGAAGGAGTGCCATTCCCCACCTCGCTGATGCTGGCCTTGGCCTCATGGCATGAGCCAGGGTGACGTACATCCCATCCCGGGAGAAGTTTCCAGAGGCACTCTGCCTTTTGCCCGGCTCTTTCTCCCACCCTCTCTGCCACGAGAACGCCACGTTCCAGACCGGAGCCCTTCCTCATCCGGAATCCCAGATGAGAAGACATACGAGTTGGAAGCCCAGCAGCTGACGGAAGTGGGCAAGGCCTAAATGGCTGTCATAAGGCTCTGGGATGTGGGGGTTGTTACCAAAGCAAAGCTGTACAACACGCAACTTCCTCTACTCCGTTGCCTTCGTCACCATCACCGTCACCAACGTCACCACCTCCAGGACCGTGGCTGCCATGACCACCCTCCCCAATAGTAACCTTTCCATCACCTCCCCATCACACCTCCACTGTCACTATCAATGGTACCCAATGACCGTCCATCCCGTCCATTGTTACACGTCCAGGGTCAGTGTCACCACCACCAGCACCTCGTCTGTCATTATCAACTCCACTATCACCGCCATACTTACTCTCACCCCCACCACTGCCTCCACGTCAGAAATGCTACCCTAATCACCTCCACCATGTTAATGATGCCTTACTGGCCACCGCACACCCCCTTCGCCATCACTGTCCCCACAGTCGTCACCGAGGATTGGGCAGGCAGCCGGCTTTCCCCAGCTCCAGTGGGCAGGCCCGTCGAGAACAGGCTGTGACTGCAGTGACAGAAACAGTTACAAAAATAAAGAAGCGTTTTCATCCGTAGCTACACTCAGTGGACTTATTCTCGGTTGTCTATTTCCTCTACCGAGTGATACGTGTTAGGTGTCAGCCCCTGTGGCAGATGGACACGGGGCACAGAGGACCAGTCCTGCTCCTGGGGAGGTGTATGGGGGTGACAGCGTCTCTCATTCTAGGTCAGGCTTGCAAAGTGTCTCCAGATTCTGTGTTCCACCTCCTGGCATTTGGGATTGGCCAGAACCTGCTGTTCCCTGTTAGGTTCCGGGAGCGTAGCACTGACAGGAAGGGAAGGAAGAGAGAGAGAGAGAGAAGAGAGACAGGGGTATGGGGTAGGGACTAGAGAAAGGAAGATGGGCAGGGAAGGAAGGAAGGAGAGAAGGCAGAGGAATGCTTTCTTAAAAATTTTTTTTATTACATTTATTTATTTTTGAGACACAGAGTGCAAGCGGGAGAGGGGCAGAGAGAGAGGGAGACACAGAATCGGAAACAGGCTCCAGGCTCTGAGCCGTCAGCCCAGAGCCCGACGCGGGGCTCGAACTCACCGACCGCGAGATCGTGACCTGGCTGAAGTCGGACGCTTAACCGACTGCGCCACCCAGGCGCCCCTACATTTATTTATTTTTGAGACACAGAGTGCAAGCGGGAGAGGGGCAGAGAGAGAGAGAGAGAGAGAGAGAGACAGAATCCGAAGCAGGCTCCAGGTTCTGAGCCGTCAGCACAGAGCCCGACTCAGGGCTCGAACCCAGGAAGCGTGAGATCATGACCAGAGCTGAAGTCAGACATTTAACCGACTGAGCCACCCAGGCGCCCCAGGAATGCCTTCTTAGGTAGGACTTAGTGATCACAACAGCTCTCTCCTCGCGGATGTGCTTACTAGGCAGTTTAGCCTGTGTTCCACCCCAGCTGGAGGGGGGTGAGGGGAAGGGAGTAAGAGACGTCAATCAGTAAATCAGTATAGTTCCCTTGCTAATTCTAAGTACGATCCCCCATGGGAGCAAGAATTAAGGAAATGTAAATACCTAGGAACCTGTGGTTACCTCACTCACCTTGCTAGCTTACTAAGTCACAAACTGGGTGACTTAACAGAGGGGCGCCTGGGTGGCTCAGTCGGTTAAGCGTTCGACTCTCGGTTTCAGCACAGGTCATGATCTCACGGTCCGTGAGTTCGAGCCATGCGTCGGGTTCTGTGTTGACAGTGTGGAGTCTGCTTGGGATTCTGTGTCTCCCTCGCTCCCTATGCCTCCCCCACTCACGCTGTCTCTGTCTTTCTCACAAATAAATAAACTTAAAAAAAAAAAAAGAACAAAAGCCCCAAACGGCAGAAATGTAACCTCTCACAGTCCTGGAGGCCGGAAGTCCACGAGCAAGATGTCACAGGGCCGCACACCCTCCCTCTGGCCTCTGGCGACTTCGGGCTCTCCCTGTGCCACACTGCTACCCCTCTGTTCTGTATGTCTCTGTAAGGACACTTGATAATCCAGGATGCTCTCATCTCGACAGCCCTAATTTAATTACATCTGCAAAGATCTCTCCTCCAAATAAGATCACATTCACAGGTTCCAGTGATTAGGACAGGGACTTAGCTTTTGGGGAGGCCACGATCTAACCCACTATACCCATTATCAATCCCGATTTCTCTTTCTTCCAGAGTTGCACGGAATGCGTCTTTCCATTTGCTGTCCTCAGACAGCCCTGGGTTTGCCTCTGTCTCTCTCTCACTGACCTGCTGTGTGACCCTGAGTACATCCTGCATGTCTCTGAGCCTCAGTCATTAAACAAACATTTACTGATCGCCAGGCATGGAACACCCCTGCCTTTGTGGGGCTGACCTCTGATGATCTGACCCGATTAAGGGGTACAAGAAGAATGAATTCCCGCGCCTGCCTCCCTGCCTGATTCCCCACTTCGGGCCCCCTCACTCTATCCCAACAACCCAGCCAGCGGGCTAAGTGGGCCTGTGGCAGGAAGGCCTCCCTCCCCCTCCCTGACCAAGGCGCACCTAGGCCCGATCCTGTGACAGATTCTGCCTCTGCTCCTTGGCTCCCAGGAGCTCAGCCAACAGACCCAGCGTGACCAAACTCCAAATTCCAGGCCCACCAAGGTGCCCACCTCTTTGGCAGGGGCAGGCCAGGTCCAGAGCTGGGGGATTTGCCCTGCCCAGGGGGGCTGATGTCACAAAAGGCCCAGCCTCTGCTCCGCAGGGGGGCCTGCCCCTGGCCTGGTCCCACTGTGGCAGTGCTCCCTCCCCCTCCCCCTGTCAGTGGAGGCGCCCACCTGTCCCTGAGAACTGGTACTATGAAAGGGTAGACTCACTGGGCAGAGCCGTGCCCGGAGCCAGTAGATTCCAGCAAGGCCCCCCCGCTGAGGGAGCCACACCAGCTGCTGCCTCCTCTGAGCCCATCCCTGCCACCCAGGCCACCGGTGCCCACCTCGCCTTCTCCCCCACCTTCGCCTCCCCCTTCTCCCCACCCCCGCCTCGGCATGGCCAACTATTACGAAGTGCTGGGGGTGCAGGCGAGCGCCTCCCCAGAGGACATCAAGAAGGCCTACCGCAAGCTGGCCTTGCGCTGGCACCCGGACAAGAACCCCGACAACAAGGAGGAGGCTGAGAAGAAGTTCAAGCAGGTGTCCGAGGCCTACGAGGTGCTGTCCGACTCCAAGAAGCGCTCCGTGTACGACCGAGCGGGCTGCAACAGCTGGCAGGCCGGTGGCGGGGCCAGCACCCCCCACAGCAGCCCCTTCGACACCGGCTACACCTTCCGTAACCCCGAGGACATCTTCCGCGAGTTTTTCGGCGGCCTGGACCCCTTCTCGTTCGACTTCTGGGACACCCCTTTCAACAGCAACCGCGCTGGCCAGGGCCATGGCCTGAGGGGGACCTTCTCGGCCGGCTTCGGCGAGTTCCCGGCCTTCATGGAAGCCTTCTCGTCCTTCGACGCCCTGAGCCGGGGTGGCGGTGCCAGCCACAGCACCTTCTCGTCCACCTCCTTCGGGGGCTCAGGCAGCTCGGGGTTCAAGTCGGTGATGTCGTCCACCGAGCTGGTCAACGGACACAAGGTCACCACCAAGTGCATCATGGAGAACGGGCAGGAGCGCGTGGAGGTGGAGGAGGACGGGCGGCTCAGGTCCGTAACCATCAATGGCAAGGAGCAGCTCAAGCAGGTGGACAAGTGACCCAGGCCGCCTGGGCCCCTGGCCTGCCACCCGCCACCGCGCCCCAGGGCGTGAGTGCGGCTGATGCTTAATAAAGGTGCCAAGTGAGTTCATGAGAACAGCTTGCCCGCATGTGGCGGGGGGTGGGGGTGGGGGGGCGGTTGCTGGGGAGCGTGGGGAACCTGCTCGGCAGGCCGGGCCCCAGTCGCAGAGGGGCGTGTGCGCTCTGGCCCGTGGGTGCCACCTGCACACGTGGGCCGTGTTCGTGGTTTGTGACCCCTCTCGTGCCGTGACTGCCTATCCTTCTCGGCCCAGCCTTGTGACTCTGAGCCTGCCGTTGGCTCTCTGATGGGGCCGCATCATCCTCCCAGGGCCTCCCAGCTCCACGTCTCAGCCCCCTGCCCCCCAGTGATTTTTCATTCGGCCATCGTGCCCAACCCAAGCTGCATCACTTCACCTGCCTTGCTGTAAACCGTCAGTGGCTCCCACTGCTCTAAGCATAAAGACCTCAGGCCTCATCCGCACCATGAGGCCCTAGTGGCCTGGCCCCTGAACGCCTTCCTGGTCTTACGTCCCGGCAACCCTCACTCTCTAAGCTCCAGACATACTGACCTCCTCTCTGTTTCTCCATGGAACCAAACGTCTTGCAACCTCAGGGCCTTTGCACATGCTGTTCTCCCTGGTAATTGCCCACTCATCTGTAGGCCTTTGCTCAACCACCACCTCTTCTGAGGACTGGGACCCTGTTATATAATTTCCAATTGACCCCCAAAGTAACCCTATGTAGGAGGGACTTTTGCCTGAGGGTCACATGTGTGGACACTGTGCACACGTCTCTGTCTGTATATGTCCAGCACAGAGAAGTGGAAGATGGTTTGAGTTCAGTCTGCTGCCCCAGTGAACCATAAACACAAAAACAGGAGCTCTGATCCTGTTTTTGCTCACGGCCAGCACCTACCCCAGGGCACGAAGATAGTAGATACACAGTAAATATTTGTTGTATGAAGGTGTTTGCGTGGGCATGCTTGTGTGTGTTTGTCCATGACCCTGAGTGAGGTTGCTCCAGCTGGACCACAGGGCTCTGTCCTCGGCATTGTGTCCTCAGTGTTGGCACTAGGGCTTTGAAGGAGCCACAAAAGGCACGGGCCTCACATTCTCAGACACACTCCGTTGGGAGTGACCTTCCCATCACGGAAGGAGTGACAGTGCCGAATTCTGATTCCGTGTGGGCCTGCCGAGTGCTAGTCTTTTAAAAATATTTTTTAAGTATATTTTTATTTTGAAGCAATCTCCAGTTTCAGATGTGTCCTGCACTTTTAGTTCAGCGCAATTCAAGAGATATGTATTGGGCGTATTATTATATGCCAGGCACAGGGCCAGGTCCTGGGGATACAGCAATGGGCAAGACAGACTCCTGCACCAATGAGGCAGACGTCGTACTGGGGAGCCAGAGAACAAGCAGGTGCGTGGAACATTGTCCCCTGTCCCTGTCATAATGAATGCGAGGGAGGAAATACAGGCAGGTAGGCTCATGGAGAAGGATGGGGTCAAGGGCACGGGCAGGCGAGTTTTCAGTTGGGGAATGGAAGTGAGATCATGGACCATGTAGTTATCTGGGGGAAAAGCATTCTCGACAGAGGGAAGAGTAAACCCAAACCCTGCCCTGTTGAGGAACAGCAAAGAGGCCAGTGAGAGCCATACCCACAGTTCCATTTGATGCCCACGCTCTCCCAGATTGTAGTCGTTGACCCACGTTACATTAAGAGGAAACTGAGAGGAGAGTCACATAACTGGCAAGTGGCTGAGCCAGGATTTCATCCAAAGGATTTACCTTCAAAATAATAATGGTAACAATAACAATAATAATTATAATTGCGGCAACAAAGGCGAAGTGTGCCTGTGAGTGTGTCTGCCAGTGTGTGTGTATGCGTGTGTGCACGCACGCACGAATGCATCTATGAAAGATCGGCATGCTGGCAATTCCTTATTCCTTGGGGGCTGGAGTGGAGCCAGAAATAGAGGCGATTCCAGGCTTCAGGGTTCAAGGCCGATTAGTGGCAGGGTCTTTGGTTCCCAGGCTGCGAAGAGGGGGTTGTATGGGCGTGGCCAGGAAAAGCACTGTGAGTACCAATCATCCTGGGGCCTGATCAGGTTTTGCTCACCTATGCATCTCGACTCCTGGCCTGGCAAGTAGTAGGTGTCCAATAAATGATGTGA